GGGATAAACAGCAATAAAAAGCATCTTACAGAAACAGTCAAACCAATGGGACAGCGGAGCTAAAAAGAAGAATGTAAGGCATGCTGTGGTGTACCATTTCCAAAGGCTAACTAAATTTTCTTGTGATGAATGCATTCCTATTTGTGCAGTTTGAGTGACCACTCTTTCTCACATCTTCTTATGCTGCTCAATTTGCTTTTCCTTCTTCTCATAGTACTCCATGATTTTCAGCCGCTGAGTCTGCACCAGACGACCTTTCTCAATGTTGAACTCTTCCTCCGCCTGTGTAAGAGAAGATTCATTAAATCAGTGGTCACTATGACAAAACACAAGACTGACAGGCAGAAGAGCTTCCGTTACCTTTGCATCAATTTCCTCAACTTTCTCATTGGCCTCTTGCTCAATGAAGGCCATCATGTGCTTAATCTGCCATAAGAAACACAAAAAGCAGCTGGTTTAAGTTTAGAGCTCTAACAATGTGCATCCTTTATGTGTCTGTCTGTTTGTTTCTGAATGATACAAAAACATGCGTACACACTTTTACAGTTTTACTAAAACTGATAGTTTAGCATTAGAAAGTGACCAAATGTCATTATTTACTGCAATGAGACCAACTCGACTTGCATTAATGGCAATGTTAGCATTTAGGCACTAACTTTAACTTTGCACCCGTCATGATGTAAACTGCCACCGACAACCAGAACTAAATGAATTGCGGCCTTGCCTCAAATGTTAAACATAGTGCGAAATAATGATTAACAGCGGGACAGTGCTGCAGTCCACGTTTCGGCCCGTTAACTGAGATTATGTATGTTTACTGTAAGTTACAACACTCGTCAGTGGGATTGACGTGGTTTAACTTGTCCATAAAGTTTACCTGTTTCTGTACGTCAGCGTCGGTGAGTGCCATGGCTTTTCTCAGTTATGTTTATTGTCTCTTTGGAGGCTGTCAAACTAACTGTCTCCGTCACTTTTACCGTCCACTGAAGCACAAACAGTTTGGGGGTGAAAACACGGTTTGGCTTTCGTGGTCGAGCTGACCACTGGAGGTAAAATAGAACTTCCGGTCTGCACTTTCAAAATAACATTTCGCGTTCCAGTTAAATATTTGTAACGAGGGCGGGGTGCTAAGGTTGGATGCTCTCCCCTCGAAATTCTTATTGCTACAGAAAATCAAGGATTATCTCCCCGAATAACAGACATGACGTGTTTGTAAATTCCGCAAGTTTCCTCTTGTGACCACAGATTGAACGGTGTCCGGTAGCAGAGGAGAGTATTATTATGAAGGCTCTGACAGGAAGATTGGTGCCGGTTTTGTACGCTAACATCCAGAGCACCCTGTGTACTAACGGCTACCTGCCATTGGTGGTCTACCCTCTCCGGCTTCTGCTACAGTAGTGTGTGTGTGTGTATGTGTTCATAATTCTGTTCAGCTTGTCGTCTGTCCACATCTGGTTGCCTTTGGACAAGGACGGTAAGAAACGGACACCCGCTGAGCTTAAGTTAAAATGAAGTTTTGAGTCTCCCGCACGTAAAACGTGTAACGTCAAGCTAGCTAACAGTAGCTTGCATGTGAGTTTAGGTGTTCCAGCGGGGGGTGCAGCGGACACTTATGTAATTAGTCTGGTAATTAATTAGCAAAGCTACATGTCTGGTTAGTAAAGCGAATGGTTATGTTATTTGGTAGATTATTTTTTGCAGACATACTGAAATCTTTTGAGGATAGTTGTGTTTATTTAATTTACTGTAATTATTGTAGCCGCTTTGTTATTTGATGATTGAACTTTTTAATTACTCGGTTATACACATTATTTTATTTTGATAGTTAAACCCGGAAGTATTTTGTTTAATTTGGCAGACTT